TCAGAGTGGACTTACCAACATGGTACATTATATTTCATTATTATTATTATTATTATTATTATTATTATTATTGCTGCATTGATTTATTTACTGGTGGAGCAAGCACGTGTGTGAAGGTCCGAGGACAACTTGCAAGAGTCCTTCTTTCCTTCCCTCTCATGGGTCCCAGGGATGGAATTCAAGGAGTACAAAGACCGGGGCTGGAGAGATGGCTCAGCAGTTAAGAACACTGGTTGTTCTTGCAGAAGACCTGGGTTTGAATCCCAGCACCCACACGGCAGCTAACAACTGTCCATAACTCCAGTCCCAGGGGCTCCAACAGCCTCTTCTGACCTCCGCCAGCACTGGACGGCACGGGTGCACTTACCTACATGCAGGCAATACACACTTACACATAAAATAAAAATGATAAATTAAAAAAAAAAAAAAAAGACCAGCAAAGAACATCACAGAAATGAAGAGTCATGAAAGCAAGCTGGACAAGAGCATCAGTAACGGGGTGACTATGCGGACAGCAGGACTCATGTCACTCACTAGTACAACCTGAGCTGGAAGAATGGCTGGCACAGAGAGCAGACAGCCAGTAATAGATGTCACAACAACTAAGCTGAAGAACAGAGAGGCCCTGGCGGTGTAGAAACCAGCACTGAACAGAGCAGCTCGAGAAGACAGAGGTGGCTGTGAGCACAGGAAGAAAGCATCCATTTTCTTGGATTTGTGAGCAACAGATGAGTTTTAGGAACTGCTTATAATTTGATAAATACTCATTTATTAGGTTAGCAAGCAAGAAAAAAGTTTTAAAGAGCTAGAATTCTCCTAACTTTTAACCCAAATGTGCCAATTCTCACAATCTGCCGTGAGGCATCCAAAGGGAAGGTGCTGAGAGTTGTTGAAGAACAATCTACTTCTCCTGAGGGAAAAGACAGTGCCAGGGCTCTGAGAAGACGTGCAGCAGCTGCTACTCACTGTGATGTGGTTGTAGATGAGCTGAGACCACCCAAACAGATCTGCTAGCCTGTAGAATGCTGCCAGCTTACACCGCAGGAGTTTCTCCCCTTTGTCATATGCAATAGAATCAGATCCTCTGAGGTCGTTCACAGGAGTAACCATACCGAGACCTAAGATAAAGGGAGACAAAGTCAGATGTAGTAGTTGTCAAAATGTGAACCAAACAGCTGCACCCCTATTTATCTTCCATATTAGACCATAGAATTTCAAAAACTTCAAAGACAGAAAGACATGTTCTTGCTCCATCATTAACACATAATTCAGAAATAGACAACAAAAAGGGGCCAAATTTCTGGGAAGGAAGGAGGCAATGGACTTCTCAAACAGGCAGTGAAGTGTGGCCAGATACAATAAAGAATGGTTAAAGAAAACTTACAGTACAAAACATACATTACAAAAAAAAAAAAAAAATCAAAGCTGGGCATGGAGGCACATACATTTAATCCCAGCACTCGGGAGGCAGAGGTAGGCAAATCTCTGTGAGTTTGAGGCCAGCCTGGTCTACATAGCAAGTTCCAGGCCAGCTGGGGCTACAGGGAGACCCTGTCTCAAAAAGATAAAAAAAGAAAGAAAAGAAAAGAAATTGCTGACTGCAGCAAAAGCTGTCTCGTTAAAATACATTCAAGGAAGAAATAATACTACCTTCCAGAATTCATTCCATCTCACTCCATGTGGCCAGCGTTACCTTTCAAAGAAAACAGACCACTATCTGTCAAAAACTTGGCTGAAAAGTACTTAATGAACAGCACATGGTGACACTCACCTTTAATCCCAGCGCTCCACAGACAGAAGGAGGTACTCCAGAGGCAGAGGCAGGAGAATTTCTGTAAGATCAAAGCCAGCCCGGACTACAGGAAGACCGTGTCTCAAAGAGAGAAACAGAAACAGACCAATACACACCCTGGACATGGTGAAGTACAGATCCAATCCGGACTACAGGAAGACTGTGTCTCAAAGAGAGAAACAGAAACAGACCAATACACACCCTGGACATGGTGAAGTACAGATCCAATTAGCTGATACTCCAGCAGCCTTTGTAATGTTAACCTTGTAATATTAATGTTCACAAATTCAACAGGCAAGGCACAGCTCCCCATCTACTGGGCACAGCTCCCCATCTACTGGGCACAGCTCCCCATCTACTGGGCACAGTCCCCATCTACTGGGCACAGCTCCCCATCTACTGGGCACAGCTCCCCATCTACTGGGCACAGTCCCCCTTCTGCAAAGTTAACTGTTCTTTGCTCATTTTCCCATCAAACATTCTTACTCTAGCTTTCTTTAAGAAACTGTTTTTCTGCTTTTTTCTTGGAGGGGGGTTTATGTGTATGAGTGTTATTCCTGTATGTATGTAAGTACACCCATGTCGTATAATGCCCTCAGAGAAGAGAACAAGGTGTCAGAATAAGCCAACATGTGGGTATTGGGACCAAACCCCTTATGTAAGACTGGCCAGTGCTCTTAACCACTGGGCCATCTCTCCAGCCAGTTTCTCACATTTTGTAAAGAATGTCAGATAAGAAATGTTGGATAAGGAATGTGGCCTGGGGGCCTATAAGATGATTAAGCAGGAAAACTGCTTAGCATGGAAGCCTGGCAACCTGAGTTTGATCCCATCCATATAAGGTGGAAGGAGAGAAACATCTCCACAAAACTGACCTCTGACCTTCACACATGTGCCATGGCATTTGTGCTGCCCCATTACACACATGCACATACATATAATAAAGATGGCTCAGTAGTTAAGAGTACATACTGCTCTTGCAGAGGACCTTAGTTTGGTTCCCAATACCCATGTCCAGAGGCTTACAACCACCTATAACTGCAGCTCCAAAGGATCTTATGCCCTCCTCAGAGGCTCCCTGGGCATTTGCACGTATGTAGTGCATTCACCTACATTCGGGTACACAGACAGACATGTATACATAAGAATATTTTTAAGCCAGGCATTGGGTGCACACCTTCAGTCCTAGCATGCTGGAGGCAGAGGCAGGCAGATCTCTCTGAGTTCAAGGCTTAGTCTAGTCTACATAGTAGGTTCCAGGCTAGCTGAAGCTACAGGAAGACCCTGTCTCAAAAAGACTTAAAAAAAGAGGCTGAGAGGGTGGGTTCCGTCCATCAGTGTAGCACCTCTGATCGCAGCAGAACCCCAGAGAGTGCCAAGCTCTGGCCTCTCTCTGACAGAGGGGCTGAGGATGCAGGGGACTACCTGAGAGCCCCCCCCCCATCCTGCCTCCACATGGTGGTGAGCTTCCCCTAATTGCACCATACCCATCACCCAACCTGGGATTTTGTGAGGTCCCTCCCAAGGCCCCAGGGCAGATCTGGCTTTGGTAGGGGAAGGCTGAGATCCTAGTAGACAACCTGAGAGGGTAGACTGCCTGAGAGCTCCCAGATCCTGCCTCCACATGGTGAAGGAAACCTGAGTGTACCTAACTGGAACCTGAATTGGGCTTCTGTGGGTACTCCTGAATAGCAGATCTAAAACCATCAGTTCCAAATTAAACCTGAGAGAATTGGAACCCTGTACAACCAGCTTTATATAACCAATAAAGAAAGGATCTAGGCACCCAGATAATACAAACAGAAGCATACTTAAACTTGATTCTCATAACAGAATCATAAACAACAAAAGAATTTCACATTGCAAAATCACAACAAAAGAATAAAATGGAAAGCCAAAACACTACGTCCCCACCGAACTCCACCAGTCCTGTAGAAGAGTTCTACAAGGAGAACCCCCTAGATATATAACCCAGGACACTGAATTTAAAAGAACAGTCATAAACGTGATCAAGGAATTCAACGAATTTAAAGAACACACAAACAAAGAACTAAAAGAAGACAGGGATAAACTTCTGAATGAATTCACAAAACAGAAACATTGAAGAAAACTCAGGCTGAAATGAAGAAGGAAATGCAAAACTCAGTAAGCCAACTTGAAACAACAGGGGAAAGCCTCACAGATACAATGAATGAAATGGAAAACAGAATATCAAGACTGGAGGATAAAGTTGAAGAATTGGACCACTCAAGCAAAGATGATGGAAAATTAAAAAAAAAAAAAACACAGGAATAGAATATGCGAGAGATGTGGGACACCATGAAAAGCCAAAATCTACAGATCATAGGAATAGAGGAAGGGGAAGAATTTCAGGTTAATGGTGTCGACCAGATCTTAAACAGGATTACAGAAGTGAATTTTCTGAAATTAAGGACAGACATCCCCATACAAATACAAGAATCACACAGAACACCAAATTGATAGGATCAGAAAAGAAACACATGACATATAATAAAAACACTAAATGTATAGAACAAAGAGAGAATACTGAAAGCAGCAAAAGAAAAACAAGTCACATACAAAGGAAAGCCCATCAGAACTACAGCTGACTTATCAATGCAAACTATGAAAGCCAGAAGAGCCCGGACCAAGGTTATTTCCAGTTCTACATGACAATATATGCCAGCCCAGAATACTATACCCAGCAAAAATGTCTACTATAGTTGAGGGAGAAAGAAAAATCTTCCATGACATGAAAAGCTTGAAAGAATACATGTCCACAAAACCACCCCTTTAAAGAATAAAGCACCGGGTGTGGTAGCGCACGCCTTTAATCCCAGCACTTGGGAGGCAAAGGCAAGCAGATCTTTATGAGTCTGAGGCCAGTCAGGTCTACATAGTGAGTTCCAGGACAGCTGGAGCTACAGGTAGACCCTATCTCAAAAAGACAAAAAAAAAAGAATACTTGAAGCAATACAGAGAGCAGAGGGAGAAATAACTATACCCCAGGGGCCATGAAAGAAAATAAAGGTATAATATAGGAAACACAAAATTAGAGAAAACGAACAGCAATCAAAATGACGGCAACCAATACACATCTTTCAATAATAACCTTAAATATCAATGGACTGAACCTCCCCAGTCAAAAGACACAGGCTAGCTGAAGGGATTAAGAAACAAAATCCATCTCTTTGCTGTCTGCAAGAAACCCATCTCACCTTCAAGGACAGGCACTACCTTGATGGAAAAAATATTCCAAGCTAATGGCCCTAAGAAGCAAGCAGGGGTTGCAATTCTAATATCTGACAAAACAGACTTCAAAGTAAAACTCATCAGAAAAGATAAGGAGGGTCACTTCATTCTGATCAATGGAACAGTTAACCAAGAAGATATTACAATCCTTAACATATATGCACCAAATTCTGGAGCACCAAAATTCATAAAAACAACACCAGAGGACTTTAAGACACAAATTAACCCCAACTCAGTAATAGTAGGGGACTTCACTATGCCACTGTCTCCATTAGACAAGTCAATTGGACAAAGAATTAACAGAGACACATCTGAATTAAATGATACTATACACCAAACGGACCTAACAGACATCTTTTGAATATTCCACCCAAGTACCAAAGAATATACTTTCTACTCAGCACCCCATGAAACTTTTTCAAAAATTGACCAGATACTGGGCCACAAAACAAACCTCAATAAACACAAAAACCCTAAAACAATCCCATGCATTCTGTCAGACCACAATGGAATAAAGTTCAAAATTAACACTGCACAAAGCCCTAGTCACTACACGAAATTATGGCAACTGAACAACACACTGCTAAACAACAAGTGGGTCAAAGGAGAAATTAAGACAGAAATAGCCAGGCATGGTGGTGCAGGCAGAGGCAGGCAGATCTCTGTGAGTTCAAGGCCAGCCTGGTCTACATAGTGAGTTCCAGCACAGCTGGGGCTACAGGGAGACAAGGTCT